GCCAAGCGCAAGGAGAACCCCATCGAGGATGAGCTCATCTTCCGCGTCGGTGAGCGGGTGGCACGGGGGGGACCTTGGTGCTCGCCAGGGTGGTGGGGGCTCCTCAGGGTGGTGGGGGGCTCCTCAGGGCTCCCCACAGCAGCAGACCCTTCTTGGGGCTCCCCAGGGCAATGGGGGCTCCCCAGGGTGGTAGGGCTACCCACAGCAGCAGGGACTCCCCAGGGCTCCCTAAGGCTCCCTGGGGTTGTGGGGGAGTCCCTGGTGTGGTGGAGTGCCCCAGAGGTGGAAGGGGTTCACTGGGGTGGTGAGTGGTCTCCTGGGGCCCCCTGTGCCTCCCTGACCGGTGCCCGCAGGCAGCCGCGGCCGGGAGAAGGGCGAGTTCACAAACCTGCAGGGGATCTCCACGTCCAGCGCCGGCCGCATCGTTGTGGCTGACAGCAACAACCAGTGTGTGCAGGTACGGACCCCCTGGGTCTCCCAGACTTCCTCGGGACCCCCACTGACACTGTACTGATCCCTGCTGAATCCCTCCTGCCCCACTGACCCCAACAGCAGCAACCAGTGCGTGCAGATATAGACCCCTGGGACCCCCACTGATCCCCCCAAGACCCTCCTGGGTACCCCTAGATCCCCATGACCCCACTGCCCCATTAGCAATAACCAATGTGTGCAGGTACAGGCCCCCCCAGACCCACAAACTCCCCCAGGACACCCACTGACTCCCCCGGGACACCCCTGACCCTGCTGCCCCCCCAGGTGTTCAGTAACGAGGGGCAGTTCCGGCTGCGTTTCGGGGTGCGGGGGCGCTCCCCAGGGCAGCTCCAGCGCCCCACGGGGGTCTCTGTGGACACCAATGGCGACATCATCGTGGCCGACTACGACAACCGCTGGGTCAGCGTGTTCTCACCTGAGGGCAAGTTCAAGGTGAGGAAAAAGAAAGCAGGGGGTGTCTGTGGGGGGGTCTGTGGGGCTGGGTGTCCATGGCACCCCCCGGTCTGACCCCCTGCCTCCCCCAGACGAAGCTGGGTGCAGGGCGGCTGATGGGCCCCAAGGGTGTCGCCGTAGACCGCAATGGGCACATCATCGTGGTGGACAACAAGGCCTGTTGCGTCTTCATCTTCCAGCCCAATGGGAAGCTGGTGGCGCGTTTCGGCTCCCGCGGCACCGCCGAGCGCCAGTTTGCAGGTACCCCCCGGGTCCCCAGCTGTGGGGCCTTGGGCTCCCCAGGGACCGGGGCAGGCAGGACCATGTGTCTGGTGTCACCAGGGTGGCTGGTGGCACTGGGACCCCAGTGGTGGGCTGGGGGCTGGGTCCAGGCTCTGGGTCCACCTGGTTCCAGGCTGGGGCTCTGGATCTAGGCTCTGGGCTTGGGGTTTGTTCTGAGCTCTGGTTTGAGTTCTGGGGCCAGACGGGTGCTCAGGGTCTGGTTCTGGCTCCAGGGCCAGGTTTGGGGCTCTGGGCTGGGGATCCGCTTCCAGGTTCTGGCTCTGGGTTCTGGATTCAGTTCTGGGCTGTGGCTCTGGGCTCAGGTTCTGACAGTGGGTCCGTGCTGGTGGCCCTGGGTTCTGGGCTCTGTCCATGGGTCAGGGCTTTGAGTCCATCTTGGTCCTGCCATGGGGCCAGAGCTGAGCCCCACCATTCCCCCCAAGGCTAAGCCCCCCAGTCCCAGGGATGACCCCCCCATGTCTCCCCCAGGGCCCCACTTTGTGGCTGTCAACAACAAGAACGAGATCGTGGTGACTGACTTCCACAACCACTCGGTGAAGGTGAGCCGGTGCTGGGGTCCCCCCGGTGCCGTGGGGCCTGGGGGGGCTGTGATGACGGCCCGTGACCCCCTGGTGTGTCCCCCTGCACACCCTCAGGTGTACAACGCAGAGGGCGAGTTCCTGTTCAAGTTTGGGTCGCACGGGGAGGGCAACGGGCAGTTCAACGCGCCCACGGGGGTGGCTGTGGACAGCAACGGCAACATCATCGTGGCCGACTGGGGCAACAGCCGCATCCAGGTACTGCACCTGCACACCTGCACACACACCTGTACTGCACACCTGTACTGCACACCTGTACTGCACACCTGTACTGCACACCTGTACCTGCACAAATACCTGTACCCACACAAACACCTGTACCCGCACACACCTGTACCTGTACCTGATCACACACCTGTACCTGTGCACCCACCTGTACCTGCACGCACACCTGTACCTGTGCACCCACCTGTACCTGAACACACACCTGTACCTGTGCACACACCTGTACCTGCACACACACCTGTACCTGCACGCACATCTGTACCTGTGCACACACCTGTACCTGCACACACACCTGTACCTGTGCACCCACCTGTACCTGAACACACACCTGTACCTGCACAGCTGCACCTGCACACACACCTGGACCTGAACACACACCTGTACCTGCACAGCTGGACCTGCACACACAACTGTACCTGCACCCACCCCTGTACCTGCACATACACCCCCACTGCAGCCCCAGAACCAGCCCCTCCCCAAACCCTCTCCATCCAATCCCTGACCCCCTAACCCCAGGTGTTCTTGATGGGATGCTCTGGGAGGCACTGGGAAGGTGCTATGGGGCACCTGGAGGTCACTGAGAGGCAAGTGGTATTAACTGGGAACAACTGGGATGGGTCTGGAGTCAACTAGGAACAGTCTGAGGGGGTGCTATAGTCAACTGGGAGCAACTGGGTCAAGTGGGAAGACTGTGGAGCCAACTGGGGTCAACTGAAAGCAACTGGGATGGGTCTCAGGTCAACTGGTGAGAGTCTATGGGGGGGGTCTAGGGAGGAACTGGGACAAGTTTTGGGCCATCTGGAAGCAACTGGGATGGTCCTGGGGAGGAGTCTGGGGTCATCTGGGAGCAAATGGGATGGACTGGGGAGGGGTTTAGGGTTAACTGGGAGCAACTGGGAAGGATCTTGTGTCAACTGGGATGGACCTGGGGGGACTTGATCACGTCCTCCCACAGGGAGTGGGTCCTGCAGATCCCATGCAGGTCCAGGGGCCATAGGGACTGGGTGTCC